GAGATTAGAACACAGTCCAGAGACAGAATAGTTGGTGTATTCTTCAAAAATCCCCGGTTTTCCAAAACAGCTCCTAAGATGCTTTCTCCAAACAGGGTATAGTCATCAGTTTTGTAGTCAAGTGGCAGTACATTTTATTTACAAATGTTAAAGTGGAATTAAACTTTATAGTGCTCTATTGGATGGGTATATCCCCTCATAACAGGATCATGCCAGTTAAAGTACTGACTTTCACTGTGAAATTCTATTGATGGTTAGTGCTCAATTTTTTAGGTGTTATTACTAAAAAAGATTTTACTAATCTTTTATACTTATATTGCTTTTCAGAAATCAGAAAAATTAGATAACCTATCAAAGAACGTCTTTGTCAACTTAGAGTAGGCAGATTTCTTGGTTAATAAATTAATTCTTAATTAGGACACTGAAAGGATTAACTCTAAAATAGATTATAAATTGGATTATGTTAAAATAAAAAGAAATATTCTTCAAAAGATATCTTTAAAAGTTAAAAAGCAACCTACCAAATGAGAACAGATACTATATATATGTATGTATGTATTTGTATAAATATAAATAATAAATAAACAAAAAAACCCAATGGAAAAATGGGCAGGTGACTTGAACAGACACTTCACAAGAGGACATTTAAATGACTATTAAATCTATGAAAATGTGCTCAACTGCATTAGTTATTTTTTAAAATGCCAATTAAATTACAACTATATGTCACTAAATAACCACCAGAAAGGTCAAGTGTGAAAGGCTGACATTACCAAGTATTGCCAGTGATGTAAACTGAACTGTCAGACACCACAAGTGGGAGTGGAAATTGATAGAACTACTTTTAGACATTGAAGTATAGTCGATTTACAATGGTGTGCTGATTTTCTGTACAGCATAGTGATTCACTTATATATTCCTTTTCATATTCTTTTTCATTATAGGCTATTACACGGTATTGAATATGGTTCCCTGTGCTATACAGTAGGACCTTGTTGCTTATCTGTTTTTTATAGTAGTATCTGCAAATCTCTCTAACTCCCAGTTTACCCCTCACACCCCCTTTCCCCCATAGTAACTATAAGTTTATTTTCTACGTCTGTCTGGATAAAACCACTTCTAAAAACCATTGGGCAACATCTTTTCAAGAATAACGTACATGAAACCTATAGCTAGCAGCTCTGCTTCTGGGTGTAGACCTAGTAGGAACGTGTGCATGTGTCAGTTCTCTAAAAGGCATGTAGAAGAATGTTCAGTGCAGTTCTGTTTGTATTACTTCTAAACTGGATCATTACCCAAAAGACCATCAGCAGTAGATTGGATAAATACATTCTGGAATGTTCAGTCAGTGGACAGTACTGAGAATGAAAAATCTGAAACTACAGTAAAGATGACTCAGAATCAAAATGTTGAGCAAAGGAGGAGGATGATAAAAAAAATTACCGAGTATAAAATTCCTTTTATATAAAATAACGAAATAGGTAAAAATAATGTTACTTGTCAGATGTCCGGATAATGGTTACCTTTTGGTGGGGAGAGGGCGTTTCTGTTTGGAAGGAAACATGAGACAGCCTCTGAGGTGTGGGGAACGTTCTATTTCGTGATCTGACTATTCCTTGCTCATCTCGTGGAAATTCATCAAGCTGTATATACTTAGGTGTATTCCATTCTGTGTACCTAAGTGTGCGTGGGCATAAAACACACATTATGCTCGGTTAAAAAGTGAAAAATATCTAGATAAGTGGGATGTGACTAAATTCCAGCAGAAGACTCACAGAATAGGGAAATAAAATGAAACATATCATTTCTCCTTCTCCAGTCCTCTCTCAGTTTTATTGTCTCTCCAGAAGTGATCACATAGTCAGGCATCCTTCCATTCCTACCCATGGCATTTACACACACACACACACGTATGTATTACAAGTAATAGTTTGAAAATGTATATTTAATTATATTTTATGTATTATTCCTTTATCAGTAACATCAAGTTGCTGTTTAAAAAGATTTAGCAATGGATAATGCCACAAGAATGACAGTAAGTGACTTTCCCTACCCTCTTGTCACTTATGTATTGAATCAGCGTTTTTGCTTTTTGACAATGTGATGGACAAAACGTGAGAGTTCCTTTCAGTTAAAATGAGATTTGTAATGAGGTTGAGCATCTTTTCATTGATCTTATTTGTATATTTTCTTTAGGAAATTTGCCACTCATCTAATTTAGCCCTTTTTCTATCAGCTGGTTTATTTTTATTTTCTCTAATTTGATATTGTTCTCTATTAATTATAGATGTAATCTTTACTCTGATATTTAAGTTATACTGAAATTTTTATATTCTGAAAAAATTTATGTATCACTTTATGGTGTCTAGGTTTAGTGAATTGCTTAGAAGCACTCTTTAGATTATAAAAATATTCTGTTGTAGTTTATTTTAAAATCTTTTTCAGATTTTTAAAGTATTTAATCCATTTGAATTTATTTTTGTGTATGGAATAATGTAGGTATCTGACATCCTTTCCCCAAATGGATGGCCAGTTGTGCCAATTGTGTGTTAAATAGTCTGTCATTACCTTACTGATTTAAAATTCTACTTTTGTCACAAATTACACTGATATATACGTGTCTCCATTTCACGCTTGATAAATTTTTTACATTTCTACGTCAATGCCACAATATTCAGAGTTATTCTAGTTTTATGGTGTGGTTTGAGAGATCATACAGTGTGCAAGAGAAAGCTAAGTATTTTGCAAATCAACTTGTTAATTCTTACAAAATTTTTTGGTGATTTTTTTTGGCATTACATTTGTAGATTGAGTGACACATTATCTGTATAAAATTAAATTCTTTCAATACCAGAGCTTATGCAGTCTCTTACAAAAGAAACCAGGTTTTCTTTATGACCTTTACTAAAGATCTGAAGCTTTCTTTATGCAGTTCTATAGTTTTTGCTCATTTCCAGTTGGGTTTATAGAATTTTATATGGTATTGTTGCTGTTATGAATATCCACCTTAAGTAACATTTTTATCTCATTGGTGATGGAAGATTTATTGGTGATAGAAGGCTCACTTAGGTAGCTTCTGAATGCAGAGAAGTCAGGCCTGTGTTCCTCCCTTTATTTGCCCATTTCACATGACTCTGACTGGGGACCTTCTCACCTTTTACCATGTACCTGACTAGCCATTGTCAACCCACGTTCCACCTCAGCTCCACCTGTCTCATACATCCCTCTGAGACCACTTCAGCCTGCGTTCTCTTCCATGTCCAAGTCAAATTTGCACTTATATCAGTCAGAGTCACTTATTTTAGATTTAGCATGTTACTACATTGGAAGATTTAAAAAATATAAATAAGGAAAAAACAGCTTTACTAAATCTTCTGTTGATATTGTTGTTGCTGCAAACTTATTCTGAGTTTTTCTCAGAATAACAGGGAATGGGACCTAAAAAAAGAAGTGTCTAAGGAACCAGACTGCCTCCTGGTGCACTTAGGAGTCCTTCTTCTTAGCTCGCCCACCAGTATCCTCACCTTGGTTAGCTATTTTAAAACTATGTTCTTTAAGGATGTTTTGATGTCATATCAATGCATGTGCCCTTCAGTGGCATTGAAAAGAGGTGTTTCTTAAACTTTAAGAGGCATAGCTGAAGACCTGCCCGAGATGTTGCTTCTTCTACCTCTGCAGTTACTAATTCACCCTGTGCGAAATTAACCTGCAGATAGGATAGGATAATTCCTAGCCAGTAGCTTTCGTTGAATTGTCTGGAGTCCAGTTTAGCCCACTTTTGAGGGACAGTTTCACCCTATTTTACAAACAGATGGAAGTGTAGTGTAAAATATATGAATTTATACAATAAAATGGGGACTATGCACAATGAAATTGGATCATTTTCCTATAATTCTAAATAGACATGTTGTCTCTTAATTTTCATTTATTGTGCAGTTTTGAATTTTTAGAATTGAATAGATAATCGACCTTGTTCTTTCTCTGTGAGGTCTCTTCTGCCTTTATTTTGGGGATTCAGGCAATGGTTACGTTATTTGTGTGAGTTAAGTGCTCATTTGTACCTAAACTGCAGTTAAATAAGTGACTTGCCCATCTCCTGGGATTTTGTGTGTCTGCGGTGGGGAAGTAATCAAGTCAGTCAAACACTTGTCTCAGAAGGGTGAGATCTAGGCTCAGGAATTTGAAGCAGGTTCTTCAAGGCAGATGATTTTGAAATTGGACAAAGTTTGTGAATAATAGTTGAAGATGGGTAGGCTCAACAAGGGAGGATCTTGAAGTTCATATCGATAAGAAACTGTTGTTTGAAAGAAAGCTGTTTGCCCAGATGAGCAAACTGTTTTCCTGGACAAATGATTTTGCAAGAATTTTCTAAAGCAAACACTGGCTTTTAATTTTGTTGGTTTACGTTCTTATCTATCTGGGCAAGAATTTCTTGGAATAAACAGTTAAATCATGTTGACACAATAGTTGAGTTGTTTAGAAGCAGATGATATTAATTCTCAAGGAGTCCTTCAGTTGGCAGTAAGCTGAATAAATAAGGTAAATTTAGACAATGGAGAGTCTTGAAAGACAAGTTAAGAAATTGGGCTATTTTCTGAGTGTTCAATTTAGTGTAAGGATATTCGCTTATAGGCCTGATTTGCTACTAGGAAGCTATGGGGCAGTGTTGGCCCCATCTTCAGTTTTTCTTGGGTTACTTGTCTTCAAAACACTCAGTCACTTACTCTGCTTGGCAGTTACGACGGCAGTCAGGTTCATTTGGGTTCTCATGTTTCTGTGCCCTGAGCTTACCAGTTCCTCACCCAGATCTCTGGCTCCATCCAGCACTTCCATGTAACACCACAGGGCATGGAATTTGACTTTCCCAGAAGATACCAAAGGGGCCAGGTAACACAGCCTGGAAGTGAGGGGGAGTTAAGTCCTCATGTGCAAACATTTGATAGTAATAGAGAAACAAGATGGATCCGGCAGGTAATCTCTCCCCCTCTTCTCTCTCTGACAGACTGTTTTGGGTATGGTACCGATGTCTGGAGCCATCCTGCTAGACCAAGCACGTTTCCACTGGTGTTCGTGCACATCCACCTGCAGAGTAACTGGCTTCGTCTCTGAGCTTGGGAATCAGAGGTCAGCATGTTAATACATCATTGTCCATTTGCTTTCCATCCTTCCCTACCTCACTTTCCTTTTCCCTTACTTTCACCAGGCTGGGTTTTCCCTTCCAGTAAAGCACTAATATTTAAGCCTTGCTTCAGGCTCTGTTTTCCAGGAAACACAGGCTAATACAGTGAGTTTGAACTATTAAGTCTCCATGGTCTTTCATTTTAATAACTGTAAAATGAGGAAATTGAACTGAATTATTTCTATGATTCTTTTAAGCTCTAATATAGCATTATTATAATCTAATCGCTTGAATATTTGAGCAAGGAAGTATGGGAGAAAGCTGATCCTGGTAGCACAGCCAGGATTTTTGGAAGTACAAGGAAAATAAAAAGCAACCTGTGGAGAACAGATATTTATACAACTTGCTGTCCTGGTCTGGTAGCTACTAAAGAAAAGATGATTTAGTCATGAATCTCAGAAAAGGTGCTGAAATTGCACTGTTGTAAACATAAATGTAAAAGGAAAGATTACATAAACTCTCAAGCAAAATATGTAACTTCTGCTGACAGAGTCATTGAAACAAGGAGAGCTTCATAAATCCATTAAATCCTGCCCTTGATCAGGGCATCGCATCTGCTTCACTGTTGAAGACCAGAACTCCTGGCCGTTTTTAAAGAGAAAATAGCATATTTTTCATATTAAAGAATTCCTTTACTGATCAGTGGCTTCCGAGAAGATTTGATTCTGGAGATTCTGATCCTGGTCCTTCCCAGCACACATTATCTGTTTTTAAGCACTCCCCAACCCCCACCACCGGGGTGATGCGAATTCCGTTTTGGGCAGGGAGAGAGATGTCCAGGGAGGTCTTCCAACATGAAAACTCCCAGTGGCAGCCACACTATCCAGCGTAGGCCTTTCAGTGGCAGTTGCAGTATGTCTGCTTAAGATGGTCCTCTGATTCTCTACACCTGGTGACATAGAATCCAGACATGCAGAAGTGAAAAGGGTGTTAGGTGTCACCTAGTTGAGCCGCTTTATTGGTAGGGAACCAGAAGTCTGGAGAAGTAAAATAACTTACCCAAGTTTATGCGACTGGACAGTGAAGGCCCCTAGACAAAAATTGTCTTGCAGCAAAAATCTTTTATTCTCTGCATCTTACTAAAGAATCTAGATAAAGCTAATGTTCAGCAGAAAATGCACAAACATACTAATGTACCGTATGGGGGAGTTTTTTCCTGCAGTTATAAATGCTTCTTTGTCATCATTTACATTTACATTTATATCCGGTAGATCATGTTAATTATGAATAATGTACCGTTCCTGTCCCTCTGTCATCTGGAATTTTGTGGGTAAACAGATCTTCAAACTTATAGGGAGATACCCACCATCCAGCTTGTGCCTGATGGAATGAGCCAGCACAGAGTGAGAAGTCCTTACTGCTTCTCAATCTGGGAAGTGTCCTCAGGCTTAAGTACTGCCTCTTCTGCCTCTCGAGCTGATAAGGACCGCACTGCACACCACCTATTTAGTGCAGCGGATCAGCAGTAACACCCTTGCTTGTGAAATTCAATCAGAAAGAAACAGATTCGTCCCTGGTTGGCTTGATGTATTAATATTGTAAATTGATGAGGTATATGCATTGTGCCTAAGTACTGTTTGTTTGTTTTTTTCAGGTGAGTAAATAGTAGTAACGTTGATATAATAGGTTCCATCGTGCTATCAGAAAGCCTGAAACTATATATAATGCTCCAGTTTTTATTCCAATGTTGGATGAATCACAAGGTTTTGAACTAACTTCAACGCAGCTGATCTAGTCAACGATCAGCTTATTCATTCAGCCATTCACTTAGTAATAGCCCCAGCACAATGACGATGTGAAGAAAAAGAAGGCACAGAACATGTAGTCATTTAGTATAAAGCAAAGAGCAAAATATTTTGAGACATCATATAAAGAAACTTTTCAAAGAAACTGAAAAACTATTTTTAAGGTGTTCTTAAATGGTTTTTGTACCTTCTTTCTTTTATAGTTAACCACTCTAGCCAAATATTTACCTCTTTCATTAACTTAGAAAAATACCGTTGGCTTTGTTGTTTCTTTATATGCTATATTTCTATAGTATAGAGTTGTTTTCCATTTCATTGATTTTTTTCTCTAAGATTTTAATCTCCTTCCTTAATTTTCTGCCTTTTTATTTGCTAATGTAAGGACTGAAGACTACAAGTTTATTTTAAGTATGCTTTTATAGCCCCCATAGATAATATTTCTAGGATCATACATTTCTGTGTTTTTAAATTTCTGGATTCATTTTGTCCTTTAACTCAAATTATTTAGGTGTGTGGTTGTATTGGCCAGCTGTATACGAGTGTTTCATCATCTTGTCACTGACACATGTAGTTGCTCTCTGGTCAGGGAACGTGGCCTGTGTGATACTGATTCTTTAGAAGTCTTTGTAACTTGTTTTATGACCTGTGTGTGATCAATTTTGATACATGTTCCATATTTGTGTGAAAAGAAGGTACAGTCTCTGTTTTTCTCTCTACCTGCTAGGTCAAGATTCTTTTGTTTTATGTTGATGGCGTCTTTTTGCTCTTTGTAGATTTCTGTGTGTGTAGTGAAGCATCTCTCAGCATCCCTGCTCTTCTTCCCTCCACTTGGTATTGTTGCACAGGTGACACGTCAGTGTTTCTCTGAGGCCCAGCTGTGGACACAGTGCATCGTTCCCCGGGATGCTGTCTGACTCATAAAAAGCCGTGGCTACAGAGATGCTTGGTGGAGGGGCATGGCCTCCCTCTCGTGCCAGCCGCAGCCGTTCCGCTGCTGTGGTCTGGCCCACACACCTGGCGTGCTTACCAGCATCTCTGGAGGGAACGATAGCACCTTTTGCTGCTGGTCAAATTTTTCTTTAAAACAGAATCTCATTTCAGAAAATATGCTGACTTGAGAAAAACAGAAAGATGCAGTGGATAAGTGAATCATAATCTGTGGGCTCAACAAAGCAATCTTTCTTTATTGAGACAACATTACCCTGGCTTAACTTGACTGTCTAGTGATTAGCATGGCTCTGTCTTCCCGTGGCTCTTCCCCAACCGCAGTCACCGCTGTTTGACCTGCGTGTGACTTGGTACCAGTCCAGCTGATTGGCTTCCCAATCCTCAGCTCCTGAAACGCATGAGCGCCCCTTACGGCTGGGCTTAGTCTGACCCTGTGCCTTTTGGGCGTTTCCTTTTCCTGTAAGAAAACCCTGCCTTGAGTGCTCTATGGGGAGAGTCTTACTTTGATCTTCAGCCTTCTCTCTCTCCCCTCGTGGCCTCTGAGGCTCTGAGACTCGGACTTACCAGTTTGCCATGTTATGGGCCAGAACTCTTGCTGCTGGCTGTCATGTCTCACCTACGCGGTCTGACCTCCGGGACCACTAGCTAGGAGCGGCTTCTCCCTGCTCCAGAAGGCAACCACTTGGTGGCTGCCGGACCCTCTTGCTGACTCCCTGAGGCTTTGATTCAGGGCCTGTAGCACCCACCTACCTGCCTTCCCTCTCTTCACCTGTGATCGTACCTATATTTACTCTTTTAACAAATCTTGCTGGAATTAACTGTCCAGATTCCGATCCCTTCCGAACCAGTCTGCTTACTGACAGCCAAACTAACTGGGCCCTTGCGGGGAGAAATCAGTGTTGAATTCTTAAACCCAGTCCCCTAGCTGAGTACCACGTTCATAATGTCAAAACAGAAGCCCCAGCAAGTGTAGCACATCCTGACTTACATCGTTTACTCTCTTATGGCAAATATTATATGCACACGGAGTTGTTTGATTGTACACATTTATTATTATGTCTTCTTTACATTTAAACTATAAGCTTCTTAAAGGCAAATGTAAACTTAACACAATCCCTTAAATAAAACAGCTGCCCAGAGAGACCTGCTAATTGAATTTAATCAGTTAAGAGATTAACTTCTGTACTTGTTTTCTTTAGTGTAATTTCTCAGCTGAGTGTCTAGTTCCTTCTTTCCACAAGTATTTATTTACTGAGGGCCTACTATGTGCCGAGTAATCTTCCAGGGTATTGAAATATTACTCTATCAAAGTAAACAGAACAGATTCCCTCATAGAGCTTACGTTGCAGTAGAGGAGTTAGACAAAAACTAAATTAAAAAACATGAATGTTATTTGGGAAAAGGGGCTACAAAGGGAAAAAAGGTGGAGCAAATGAATAAAGATGAAGGGTGGTGTTTGTCTGGAGTTTGGTATACTTTCCCTCTCTTAGAGAACAAGCTCCCAGAGGTCTGTATTTTCTTTGCTCTGCATTTATTTTATTTGAGATTTGTAAACAGATTATGCAAAACATGAAGTTTTTAGACCTTTAACAAATACTCTTTGCAGATGGGAAGAAAAGATTTATCAGGCTTTTAAAATTCCCCCACTTGTTTTTTCCTTTACGCTTTAAATGGGGAGGGGGCAAAAAACACGGATTGCAGTCAGTATGGTATATGGGTGAATTTGTTTTCTCTCTAAGAGCCCTCTGGCTCAAACATTATCAATAGCACACTTTATTTAACAGACGAGATCATCTGTAACTTTTGGGGGTTTTCTTTCCTTTTTCTTTTTTTCTTTTCTTTTTTTTTTTTGGTTTCAACAGCAGTGTTTAGAAGTGTTAGAGACCCTGTTTACTAATGCCTTTTCCCAAACCCAGATCCGACTGCCCTGACACTTAACACGCTGACGTCCCTGAAAACCCTCGGTGCTGCTCACTGGAAGACTCACAGGAAATGGGGAGGCTGCTCAGAGCTACCTCGCGCGCTGACCTGGGGTAGGCACTAGGACCGCCCAGACGCCAACAGGCAGCCACGCTTCACCGCCTGTCAGAGGGACTGAGCCGCCTTCGCTGTTACACAAGAGAGCAGGCAGCAGCCGTAGCAGCTCAGCATCCTTCCCCCTCTGGTGGATCGGAAGGTATTTACTCGCTATTTATCATGCAGATTTTGTACACCATCACTGTGCCTTTAGTGTTCACTTAATCTGATTCTCTGGAACGCTGTCCAGCACTTGTTGGGTTACTATGTTATTTTATGTTAATTTCCACAGCTGATGGAAGCAACAGTGCGGTAGAGAAATGGGCTAGATATTTCCAGAGGCTGAAACCTGGAGGCATTTGGAGGTGTAAGTACATGGGTCACAGATTTCTAATGTGCCGGCTGTGTTGGCTGTGTCTGCTGACCTTCTTGTTCCTCATTGAAGGAGCCAGTGTAAGATCCATCTGCATATTTCATTCATGAAGGCAAAGCACCGGGGTGGTGACAGAAACCACTAATGATGGGCCTGAAACTCCACTTCGGAGTGGCTGTGGTTCCCTCTTCTAGCCTGCGGGTTTGCAAGAGGAGCAGCTGGATTGGCGACAGAGTTCTGATGGGAAAGAGCATTTGCTCAGGGCTGCAGGCGGCTTGCTTGCTCTCTGCTTTCTGTTTTCAAATCTCAGAGATGGTCCTTTCTAATCATTGCTGTGGTGCAGTGGAGGAGTCTTTTTATGCTTCGTTTATTTCTGATTTCAGATACTCTTACCATAAATGTAGGCTGTCAGAGAGCTGCTAAACCATTCTGTCCCTCTCAGGGTAAAGCTGCTGAAGAAAAATCTAGTTTGCTTTCTCTTGACCATGCTGGGCTCGATACTTCAAGTAGTAGATTATACCCAGAAACATTAAAAAAAATAATAATCTGATTCCCTTTCATGTCCAACAATAAATCTGGATAATGTGCAATAAGGGAGTAGTTTGCTGTTAGAAAACCCAAATGAACTGGACTCTATGGAGGGAATTGGACATTCTCTCTAAGTATTTCACAAATCAATTAAAGTTGCTTTTTTAGGGCCTTGGTACCAATTTCATGAATTAAAACCTCTTTGAAAACTTTAAAGCCTTGTCAGATTGTCAGGTTAGACTATTACCTTAGAAATTAGATCAAATTTAGGTATCTTATACCAAAATGTAATAGGTAAACATGTTTATAAATCAATAAAATGTTGAGTCATATTAATGGTCAGTTCATAGAAAATTGTAAGATAAATAGTACCATTAAATTTATTTCGGGAAAGCAAATAATCTTAGACATAATGCAGTTCATCAATATTGAAAATATGACTTCAATGAAAATAGTTTTTTAAATAAGTTTTAAAATATTTTTAATGGTTCAAAAATTATATACTTTAAGTACATTATGCTTGCTATATTGGAATACCCTAAATAAAATTTCAAATTGCTTAAGTATCAAACTTTTCAAAATATACCTATAGTTCTATAACTCTCTTTTGGAGAAGAAAGAGGAACAGAGGATATGAGGGAGGGAGAAATTGAGTCTTAGTTTATGATTCCATACTCTTTATAATTTAAACATTCTGATTGACTATTTACTATATAAATATGCTACCTGTATTTTTCAAACTGTAAATAATTGTAAGTGGTTATATTACTTAATTTGCAACACCCTTAAGTGCAAATGAATATAAGTATGTAAAAATAATATGTTAATATTGCTATATAATATTTCTTAAGCAGGTAAAATCTTTTTGAAGATAATATCTTGCCTCTGGCAGAACTTAGTGAAATCAGAGTGGGATTAGTAATAGACTTTTAATATTTTGTGATGCAAAAGTAATTCTTAAAATTCATTTTTAGTTAGTGTAGCAATACAGCTCCACGAACTTTGTGTTTAATGAAGTATCTTCTTATCTCTTTTAAAAACATTTTCTGTATTCCAAGTCTAGAAAGATGACTCAATTCTTCAAATTAATACTTAGTTCAAAAGTTCTTGCCCAACATATAATTTGCAGCCTTAAACTTCAGTTTGTCATATTCTTATACATGTCTTATCATAAATAATTTTTAAGTAACTTCATTATATTTCGAGTCTAAAGATGCATTGATTCCAATGATGACAGGGAAAAAAATCTTGAGAACATAGTTCTTATTCAGAACTTGGTACTTTTCTTAGAACATGAACTTTCTTCCTGAGTTTAAATCCTAAAATTAAGTCCACTGGCTAGACCTAATTGAAGGCAGTGGAAACAGTCTAAGCAGAAGCCTAGAATTGCTGGCAAACAAGTGGAGCTTAAGATGAAGAATAAAATGCGAACACGAATGCTAATTTGCTGAAGTGTGAAAGTCGTGATTATCTGGTGATTTTATTCCTGGGGATAATCCTCTTAGGCCTTGAAAAGTCCCGCTGCCCAGGAGATCCAGGTGAATATATCATCTAGATGTGCTGGCTAAGTAAGATAGATATTTCTAAAAGATTATTTTTAAATACATATTTTTGTTTAAAGAGATTCAGCAGAGAGCAAATGTGGTTACACCAATTTTGCCTGCAGCAATGTGGGCTTTTTTCTTAAGACCATAACTTATTCCGTATGAAAACAATGCTTAGTAAGACAGTTAAGAAAGAGAGGGGGAAAAATAGCTTTTGCATGATGAAACTACCTAAAAGAAGCTAGTGTAAAGGCAGGAAAGACGCTTCAGGAAAACATGTTCAGGTGTTCAGGGGTTTCAAAACAAACTTTTATTTTGTTTTTCTGAGCACCTGCATTTTGAGTAAGAAAAGGGGCCTCCTAGTAGACGCTGGGGAAAATGCAGCAAGTCAGCTGCGGGCTGGCTTCTGATGGTAAGAGGTGAGGAGTGCTGTGTTCAAGGGCTAAAGAAGCAACCTTAAAGGAATGACGTATAGTCCTTCTTAGCTTGTCCTGAGAGGCGATTACAGTGCTAACATGAGTTTTTAAGAATCTGTTGGCCACATATACAAGCCACAATAAACAGGAGTTATATGTAGCTTGAGAATTTCTTTGAAATCTAGTCATGAGTTTCCCTTATTAAATAAAAGACTTAAAGGGAAGAAAATGAGAGCATGCTACTGGCAGGCCTTGTCCACAGCGGTTACAGTTGTGTGAACCAGAAGGGTGAGTTGTGTATTTTGCTGGAGTTTGGCAATAGGGAGTAAGCTCTTATCCATGTAGTTTTTGAGAGGAAGCTTTTCTCAGAAGCAAAGATCTTGTTTCCAGAAGCTGACTTTATGTATAAATAAGTAAGTTTGCAAGTACAGCCAAAGACTTTAAAATATATGAGGCACAGCCTTTGGGTGTAAAAGACCCATTAACAATATGAAATGTGTGCCATGCATTGTTGAGAAGCTGATTTCATCCAAAACATTAATTGTCCCTCCTGGTTCTCACAACTGTAACTGACGTAAACCTGGGACGCCACTGATACACAATCAGTCCCTTCCCCCATGTCTCTTATTTAAGAGGGAAGAAGTTAAAGACTCTAAGGAAACAGTTGACAAATATTAATCATGATTCCATGGGTTTTTAAGTTGTAAATGAGCTTTGTTGTTCCTGCAGATGTAATGTAATACTTGTAGTTTGCACTTTGGAATCAGTGTAAAATTTTATGGACACAGTGTTTAACATTTTTGGATCATCTTTTTAAAATAGATATTTATTGATTTCTTAACATATGCCAGCTATGGAATTTCGACTGTATGCAAGATTTCCCACCATTCGTGGTCTCCATCATTTCATCATTTTGTGAAGCAAATAGGCAGCAAGCAATTTTATGAACCAAACACATGATTATTAAAATTCTTTAAAAATTATTATTATAACTAAAAAAACCCCAGAATATATCTGATAGATACTAACTTGAAAATTAGAAGAGAGTGCTATGATAAAGAATGATGTGGTGCATATTTCAGATGTGGTTGTGTGGAAGGGTCCCCGGAAGAGGGATATGTCATCAGGGATCCCAGTGGAAGAGGCAGCCAAGTAATGAGCAGCATGTGCTGCAATAGAAAGTGCAGACTTCGTACAAACCTACTGCAGTTTAAACTCATTCTGCATCATTCTGAATCTTGAAAGCTTGAGCATTTCACCCCCTTGATAAAACTTTACAGAGTTTGGAGAAGAATGAGATAACACGTTGAGTATCCATGACAATACCTGGGGCAAATTTAACTTCCATTATAACTTATAAAGTATCATTGTAACTTTATGGATTCACTCCTTTGAATACCTAGTCAAATAAACAAGTATTGGACTATTTTTTTCATCACTCCTGTGCCCCTTTCTGTAAATTCTTTTGGTGATTCTATGTCACACAGTTGAGGGAGAAAAGATAGCCATTTCCATTGACAGCAGGAAGGAAGATCGCTGCTCCTGAATTTCCTAAAGAGCAAATCTCAGTGAAGAGCTTTGTTAGATGCAATTATGGTAGATTTTTGATCATCTCCTCAGAAACCACTAACATGGCGCTTGATGGAGATTAATTAAGGTGCTGTTCCTCCCAGGGAATGCCAGACTCAGATGACCACTTCCAAAGAGGTTAGACACATGGCCTCTGGCAAGACTGTGCTTACTGGGCTTGGCCTGTCAAACGCAACCTCCAGAGAAGTTCAGTGAGATGAACGTGGCACAGCATAGGGTTCAAGCTCAAGTTGAAGAAGTGAGTTCATTCGTGAAGAAGGTGGTTCATTGATCCTTGGAGTGATTCATACCTGAAGAGTTTGGAGTTTTGTCATCTCATTAGTGTGCAGCTATGAAGTATGCACCTGCACATAGACCACCACATGTATTATACATGCATATATAATTTTTAAGTGGAAAATTGCTATGGGTGACTTTTATGTATTCCCCCCACCCCCTGTTGCTTTTGACGATACCACTAGATATAGTGGCAAAATTGTTCAACAATGTTTTTCTCTAGTCATTTCAAAGGAAAACATTAATCCTGGATGTTATCATCTAGATGTAGTTGAAGCTGCTTTATCAGACAGAATCCAAAATGAAGAGCTAAACCAAAAGCCTGAAAGAGGTTGGCATTGAAAAGAGGCATCACTAGGGGAAAAAGATCCCTGATTGGTCTAGATTCAGTATGGCCCAGGTCCCAGTCTTGTGGAAGAAGATGGGATATTACTGAATGGCAGTCAGACAGATTGGCAAACTTGAGACTAAAATCTGTCCTTTTGCAGGACTAGGATAGAGCAAAGGTTGTTGCTAAGGGTAAGAAAGTAGTGAAGAGGGTCAGGTCAGGAAGTAAAATTCAAGTTCATGAGACCTTGTGCTGCTAGTATTTCAGTCGTCTGCTGCTCTGTCACTATCTACGTATGTGTCTTTGGAAATG